TAGCTCTGTCGAGTCAATCCCAATAATCACAGATAAAGCACATAAATTGATCAAGTTCATGCACTAACAATCATAACAAATATAAGAAATAATCATAAAATCATAATTGCATAATCTCAAGAAAACGGGTTCACAATCCCCACATAGGGTTCCAACAAAATCCTAGATTAAAAACTTAGCTACGCATGTTCGTTACGAAAAACATAATAAAAACATAAAAATAATAGATTAAGAAAAGATAGGTGAAAGAAGAATTGAGATGAAGATTTGTCAATTCTCCGTCTTCGATTCTTGATTCTTCGTTCTCTCGCTCCTCTCGCTCCAAGATTGTGTCAAAAAGTCCTTTAATTCGTGCTTGGTTTGCCCTTAAATAGATGTCCCAACTTGGTAGATGATTCTAGGTTTCCTTGTGTGTTTAAAAGTCCAAAATTGTGTCTAGCGGGTGTTGGCGCGGCCGCGCGAAAATCAGTGCAATTCTCGCACGGCCGCGCGAGAATCGCCGAACCTTCTGCCCAAATTCTGCATTTGGCACGGCCGTGCCAAAAATAGGCAAATTTTGGCACGGCCGTGCGGGCCTGTTTTCAGCCAATTTTCAGCATATTTTGATTATTTCACTTTTGGCCCATATTTTCTCCAAAATTGCAGTTTTGACCCCAAACTTTTCCAATTCTTCAATTTGTACCTAGAATACAATAAATCAACTTTTTAAGCACCAATTATCGTTAATTCACACAAAAAGCTCAAATAAAAAGATGCGATAAAGTATAAAAATATATACTTAACACACCCCCAAACTTGATCTTTTGTTTGTCCTCAAGCAAAAACTAGCAACTTTCACAGCAACACTCTCAACAAATGCCTCTCATCACATAGATTAATGGTCAACTTTCATTTTTTCAGAACTTGCAATTATCATGACAATTCTCAAAAATTTACAAGCTCGTAATTCAAAGATACGTAATCACTCACCATTGCTAAAAACCACAAACCATGCTATCGCTTCAAGTATCCCATATTTGTACATTAAAATTGGAGAAAATTTATACTTACATAATAATATTCAACTCCAAAGACTCACCAAATTTCTTTACTCGGCTAGTATCAAATAATTGAGCTATTTGGATTATTGGGACTTTTTGGCTTTCAAATGTTGGGCTTTTTGGTTCGAGGTAGGAGATATGGGTATATGTGGCTATACTTCTTGAATTGAGGTGATTACGCCAAATTTTGAAAGATATGCGTTTGAAACAATGAATTCACCTCTAAGGACTTTAATTAACTCGATTCTTCAGAGTTCAAAAGTCTCCACTTTTTCTCCTAAGACAATGGATCGAGCTTTCAAAACAACTCAACAACTAGTCCTTACTTCCCCTTCTAGTCTCTTCTTCCTTTTTTTTTTTTTTTTTTTTTTTTTTTTTTTTCTTTTCGAAGAAGAAGAAGGACCTTATAAAAAAATTTCGACGGAACTCCAAGGGTTAATTTTTCAAAAATCTCCACTTATTCCACCTTATACACATTGGCTAAAAGAAAGAACACCGTTTCTCCAAGGCTCAATCAAGGTTCGAATGATAAAAATTTAAAGGTAGGCTTGAAAGGCTCAAACGGTTCAAAGATGGCCTAAATCACTTCCCAAATTGCTCAACAATTTAATATTTCACTTTGTAAATTCATAAGACAAGTTCTAAAACCGAATAGCATATGATATAACATAAATTAATTCAAATTTTAAAACACAAAACTTTCAACCAAACCAACGCATAATTCGTGATTCCTAACAATGACTCCTTCCTACGACACTTTGAATCAAAAGCTCACCAAAATTCAATCACAATCAAGATAAAGCAAGCAATTTCATCATTAAACATCGACCATCTTTCATCATCATGATTCATCGAAGCATTTATCTCAAGCAAATTTTTTTTAAAAGTAATAAATAAACTAAAACAACTAAAATAATAAAAAAAAAAAAAATCCTAAGGCATGCAAACTAAAAAATTAAAGCACATAAACAAGTAATTATCCACCCCCAAACTTAAAATTTACATTGCCCTCAATGTAATTAACACGAAGTTTAAGGATATAATACACCTGAATAAGTCGTTTTGGCCATGTCCGGGCAGCTGAAATTTTCGCCTTTATTTTGCTTCTGTTGAGCTTCACACGGCCGTGTGAAGTGAAAAATTGCACTTTGACCCCTGAAAACAAAAACTGCTTATTTAATTAGCTTGCATGCTTATAAAATAAATAAATAAAATAAAACAAGAAACATAAATAATAAAAATAATAAAAAAAAAAAAAACGAAAATCTCGGGTTGCCTCCCGACACTACCAAAAAACAAGGCTTTTGTCACAGAAATTTAGTGACGAACCTATTCTGTCACGATGAGTGACCAAATGAGTGACAAATTTGTGACCAATTTGAAACAAAAAATAATGCAATTTATTGTGACAGGTATGTGATGAATTATGTGACTAATTGCGTGACGACGAATATTCGATCACATTTCGGTCACTGATTTTGCGACAAAAATTTATTCCGTGATAATACCCGTCACAGCCAGTTTATAAATTTACACTTTCATTAATATCAGTCACATATCGGTTACTAAATTCTTCTCGTCACAAATGTGTCACATATAATTCCATCACAAATCCGTCATAATCTAAGTTTTGTCATATTATACTTTTCGTCACAGACGCGTCACATATAATTCGGTCGAAAATTGTCGCATTCTACATTTCATCACTAATTCGTCAAAATATCCATGCCGTCACAAATGCGTCACATATAATTTGATCACAAATCCGTCATTTCTAAGTTCCGCCATTAATCCATCACAATATGCTTTTTGTCACAGATGCGTCATATATTATTCTGTTGCAAGACTATTACATTTTAAGTTCCGCCATAATATCAGAATCGTCACAAATATATCACATATAATTTTGTTACAAATCCGTCATATTCTATGTTACGTTAGGTCAATGATTATTAGTCATAAATCTATTATATTTTAAATCATGCCAGTAATCAATCACCAATTACATTCTTAATTAGTGACTAAACTAATGTTTAACTTTTTCTTGTATTACACAAATGTTTTGATTTTTTTTTATAAATATTTATAATAAATCTTATAGTTGTTACAACTATTATTTAATTTTATAATTTATGAGCTCAAAGATATTTACCAATAAAAGATATAATTATAACATTGTTATTTTATGTAAATATATAATTTTTAAAACAATAAACTAAAGAAAACTAATAGCAAAATTAACAAATTAATTTAATTTTTATATTTTTGCCAAATACACACTTAATTTAAATAATAGTAATAATAATATACCTCTATTTAATGAAATTTGAAGGTGGGGTTTTTGTTTTAATTTTTGATTACTTGGTGTTTTGATTGATTTAAAAAAAAAAAGAAATAAATAATATATATACCCTTAATTTCAATTAACTTAAAATAATATATATGTAAATACTTGCCATAACTTAAAACCAAAATAATAAACACACAAATGACGAACATGAGGGTTTTCATTGTTTTACCCCAAAATCGCCGCTCGCATTCTCATTTCTTCAATCCTCGGCGAACAGCTTAACCCCATGGGTGAGAGTGATTCACTTCACCGGAGAGAGAGAGCTTAATCCACCGGAGATGGAGAGACCGCGGCGACAGAGAATCAGGGACGGAGAAAAGGGGATAGAGAGCTCGTTCAACCCTTTCCTTCAGCGACGACGGTTGTTTTCTTACTCAAAAGTTGCAGGTGTGATTTATCTCTTATCGTTTTCATCCAATTTCAGAATTAGGTTTGTAGCTGAGATTGATTTCAATCTTCAATTTCTGGTTGAATGGGTTTAATTTTTTTATGTACATATAACCCCCTAGATCGTTGATTGTAAACCCTATCTGTTAAATAAGTAGTTATATTATTCTAGATTTTTACCCTCAATTTTAAGGTTTTATAATTGCTTCCCAAAGTTTTGAAGTTCAAACAAGAATTGATCCAAAGTTTTCATTATGGGACTTGTAGAGGATGTAGTAATATAAAGACGATAAAAAACAAAATCAAGCTCTAGTATACAATAGATGAATAAATAATTCAAGAATCGGTTGAAATTTCTTACCATCCTTTTAGAAATCCGCCCTCGACTAGTTGTCCCAACCGGTGCATGTACGTTTTGGTTACGATCTTTCGTAGGGTAACCAATTGGTGGTGATGCCGTTACATATTGACCTCCATTATAGCTATCTGGATACGAAGTCGGAGGTGAAAAACTTTTGAACGTGTTGACTGAAAAGCGTGTGCTTTTACAATTAGTGAAAACTTCCTTTTGCTGTTTATGATTAACTTTCGCCTATTGTCGTGTTTTTCTACATTAAATAAGACGATAAATTAATGCATGAATCCTAAATTAAGTGTTGTTCTTGGCAGGAAAAAAATGTAATAGAGAGGCCTCAGAAGATCATATTCCTCAGATGATCATATTCCATTAATAGAAGCCAGCAGGTATATATGCTTATAGTTCCATTGCACTTCTCACTATTTAATTACTTTCTAAATTTCTATTTTGTATCGAAAATTGTTGGACTGTTGTGCAATTCGTTATTGCTACTAAACTTCAAATTAGTATCATGTCGGCGGTTTGAGACTATATATTACTGAACTTTGTATATGATGATAAATATAAGTTGTGCAACATGGACATAATATCAAATAGTATTCATGTCAAGTGTTCTTATTCATTCAATTTGTTTTATATGGTCCGAAAGAATTTAGAATTTTAATTGTTTAGTTTATTATTATGAAATGTTGGTTTTCACTTCGATCTATGGCTTGTTGAATGAGAGTTGAAATTTCCTTTTTTTTTAATTATAAGTTGCAATGTCACTTGAAATGAAGACATTGAAGTGAAGATGCCAACAATATTGTTACTGTACCTTACAGAGAAGAAACCTTGCTTGATGTTGTTTATAAATTCTCTAATTACAGTCATCAATTAAAGATGTTTGTGCTTTGTGAATTGTATCAACTCAAAACAAGTCTCAGATGTGCGGCATGTCCCTCGTCAATGTAAAGAATCCTTAGGGAGTCTCATTGGTAGGAATCCAAAGAGTTTCGGAAAGTTATTCAAGATCCTTCCTTAATAAGGTAATGCCATCACACATGAAATTCCAATCATCGACATTCTTATGTTTCTATTATAGTGTGCGCTTGTGGTAGAGTATATAAAGTACTATAGAATTTTTGACAACTGTACATTTGTAACATATCTAGACGTTTACACGCTAGATGGGGACACACAAACACATTGTCGGATTTAATTGATTTAATCATGATTATTTTTCATGTGGTTATCACAGGATGTCAGCTGCAAGGGGAACGGTTTACAACGAAAGCTCTAGAGCGATGTGATATGTATGAACTTACAAATACTTTGGTGAAATAAGATTTGTCCCGTTTTTGTGATTTATTGGGCTTTTTTGGGAGTTATTAAGGTTGATCGGTGATATGTTTGCAATGACTGTAGTTGTGAACTTTGAAATATATCTCAAACGATGTAATGTTGATCTTAAGATATATTTATGCGTAATTAATTTTGTTGATATTCTTATGAATGATTTATTTTGGAGATTTATGGATTTTTTGAAATATTTGGTAAGCAGGTTGAGAAAATAATATATATAATATTGAACAAAATATATATTTTTTTAATAATAACTTGTGACGGATTGTGTGTGACGGAATATTTGTGACATTGTTCATGATAAATTAGTTGCGACGCTATTTGTGACAGATAAATAACAAATTATTTTGTCAATCAGTGACGAATTGCGGACAACAAAAATTGTTTGTGACGACATCCGTCACATATATTAGGGAGAATATTTTGTTGATTAATGACGGATTATTGATACCAAATATTGTCTGTGACAAAATCCGTCACATATGTGAGCGACAAATTATTGACAGAAAATATTGTTTTGTGACGGAATCCGTCACAAAGTTAATGGGAATATTAAGTTGATTAGTGGCGAACTATTGACAAACAAAAATTATTTGTGACAGAATCCGTCATAGATTTTAAGGACCTTGGATATGGAATTGTGACGGAATTATTTTTGTTTGTGACTAACCATTTCGTGATAAACTGTGTGACAGAATTAAAATATCTGTCACATTTTCAGTTTGTGACGAGGGTTTTTCTGACAGATGTATTTTGTCATGACTCCGTCACTAAAGCTTATTTGTGACAAATTTTATCCAATTTTTTGACAAAATTGGCTGTCACTGAAGCCTTGTTTTTTGGTAGTGCGAGAAGCGCTAAGTTTATAGTCTTCAGCCAGGCTTTGTTCCTTCTCTTCAATTCCTTAGCTTTTGTACCCATCTCCTAACTTCCTTTTGGAGAAAGTCTTGAATAAATGGGTTGATCCGATTCTTCTTTCGACTGGTTCGCTTAGGAATGCCCTTGAATTTATTCTTCTTGATGTCATGAGGCTTGCCAACATCGTCTTTTATCACGGTGTTTTGAGTAGGTGTTGTAACCAGCTCAACCGTTTTCTTTTGTTCTCCTACATGCACATTAGTATCCACAAAAAAATTTAAATCATGTAATTTAACAGGAAAAAGTTTAGAATCACTTACCTCATCAAGAAGATAACATCCATTAGCCGTAATAGGCTTTTCATCCACCCGGTACACCTTGAAGATCACTGTTTCGTCCCCCACACTCATGCTTAGCTCTCTCTTTCCTACATCAATAATTGACCTACCGGTCGCTAAGAAGGGGCGTCCTAAGATAAGGGGAATATTTTCATCTTCCTCTATGTCTAGTACTAGAAAATCGGCCGGGAGTATAAACTTATCTACCTTGACCAATACATCCTCCACTATACCTAAAGGGTGAGTAAAAGATCTATCGGCTAGCTGCAAGGTCACGGAAGTGGGCTTAATTTCTCCTAAGTTCAATTTCTCATAAATTGATAAAGGCATTAAATTTACGCTCGCCCCTTGATCACACAACGCCCGCCCAAAATACCAAGTACCTATTGTGCATGGAATGGTACAACTCCCCGGATCTCTAAGCTTCGGTGGAATTTTATTTGCAAGGATAGCACTACTTTGCTCATTGAGGTCTATGATTGCTGCACACTCCGGAAGCCTCATCTTCTTCGATACAAGTTCCTTTATAAACTTAACCCAATTCGGCATATGCTTAAGTGCCTCAACAAAGGAATATTAACATGCAACTTTTTAAGATAATCCAAAAATAACTGAAATTGCATATCAAGCTTGGAGTTTTGAAAACGTTGAGGGAAGGGTACCTTGGGAGTAGATTCACTTACTGCGATCTTTGTGTTGCTTCGCCCGACCTCGGTCTTTTCTTTGGGCTCCTCTACAATAGGCGGTGGTGCAACGGACTTTTTAGGACCTTCCTCTAATTGCCTCCCATTTCGCAAAGTTACTGCATTGCACTGCTCGATGTTGCTCTTTCGAGGATCTTCCGTATTCGACGGCAGTGCTCCCGACGGCCTCGCGTTTAGTTGGGTTGCAAGTTGACCCATTTGTGTCTCGAGGTTCCGAATGGATGCTTGAGTCGACGTCATGAATTTTGCTAAGATGTCAGCGAGGTCAACTCCTTGGGCAGGAGCTTGAGGTGGATTTTGGAATCCGGGAGCTGGCCTTTGTCCTTGCTGATTTCCTCCCCATCCCAAGTTGGGGTGACCTTTCCATCCCGGATTATAAGTGTTTGAGTACGGGTTCCTTTGTTGTCGATTGGTTTCATTCACGTAATTTAGCGACTCCGTTTCTTCTAAGCACCGGTCGGGACCTTGGACTGCATGGACTTGCTGAGTCTGCAAAGCTGCTACATGCTTTGATAGCTTTTCTAACTGGGCGGTGATTGCGGTGACCCCGTCTAACTCTAAAATTCCTCCCGTCTTATTGGCTCCGCTATTTGACCGGTCCGATGCCCGCATGTATTTGTTCCTTGCGATCTGCTCCAAAAGTTCGTAAGCTTCGTCATATGTCAAGCTCATGTACATACCGCCAGCTGCTGAATCGAGCACCGTTCTCGAATTATCTTGCAATCCATCATAAAATATTTGAAGTTGCCGCCACTCTTGAAGACCGTGATTCGGGCATCTCCGAATTAATTGTTTGAATCGCTCCCACGTCTCGAACAACGCTTCACCGGCTTCTTGTAAGAAGTTTTGTATTTCTCTCCGGATTCTCTCAGTTTTGGTTGGGGAGTTGTACGTATTCATGAAGAGCTGTGCTAGCTGGGGCCAAGACGAGATGGAATGCGGTGCACGAGTTTGTAGCCATTCTCTTGCGGCTCCTTGGAGAGAGTGCTTGAAAAGGCGGAGTTGCACTGCTTCAGGAGATACTCCGTTCATCTTGTGCGAATCACACGTTTCGAGAAAGTTGACCAAGTGGAGATGTGGATCTTCGTGAGCCAATCCGCTGAATAAACCATTGTTTTGGAGCATAGTGAGGAGTCCCGCTCGAATTTCGAAATTGTTGGGTTCAATGGGGGGCTGCTGGATGCTTGATTGAAACCCATTGAGTGTTGGAACGGTGTACTCATGCAATGCTCGTTGACGAGGTTGATTAATTAGCTGGCGTTGCTCTAGCTCGTTGACGAAATTTCCTGCCGCATTCAGTAGGTGCCCTTGGTCATCTCCCCTACGATTATTCTCTTCTTCCATTCGTATAAAAAGTACCTAAAACAAAAATAATAAAAATAAAATAAGCAAAAAGAATAATAAAATAAAATAAAAAAAAAAAAAAAAAAAAAACGGCTGAAGTAAGAAAAATTGCTCTAATTTAATATTAGGATAAATAGATAATTTAGCCGTATTCCCCGGCAACGGCGCCAAAAACTTGTTGGGTGCTAAATACCAACACGCAAGTGCACGTATCGCAAACAAGTAGTAAAAGTAGACTCGTGAGAGTCGGATGTCGATCCCACAGGGAATACGCAAATTACCTAATCCTAAGTACCAAATCCAAACAATTGTGATTTTTATTCAGCCTACGCAGGGTTGTCAATTTAATTAACTAAATAAAAGAAACTAATTAAGAAAACAGTTAAACACGAGAAAATATCAATATAAAACGGATCTAGGATTTTATCTTCCCCCTATGCAAGAATTGCTCACCCGAAACCCCTCAATTATGCAATATATGATTCATGATTATTAACCCGAGACACTAATTTACTCATAACCCGCTGTCGCGTGTATTATGGGTCTATTATTCATAAACGATTCACTATATGTCTATGCAAACCAATTATGAATAAAACATTAACTAACAAGTCTCGTAAATGGCTACCTAAGGTGATATTTGTATGTCTACGACACCACATGCAATTGACACACTCATTCGGCGAAAACTACTCGAAGGCTCTTATACTTACCGTCTAATTATAAAAATAGCTCTGTCGAGTCAATCCCAATAATCACAGGTAAAGCACATAAATTGATCAAGTTCATGCACTAACAATCATAACAAATATAAGAAATAATCATAAAATCATAATTGCATAATCTCAAGAAAACGGGTTCACAATCCCCACATAGGGTTCCAACAAAATCCTATATTAAAAACATAGCTACGCATGTTCGTTACGAAAAACATAATAAAAACATAAAAAGAATAGATTAAGAAAAGATAGGTGAAAGAAGAATTGAGATGAAGATTTGTCAATTCTCCGTCTTCGATTCTTGATTCTTCGTTCTCTCGCTCCTCTCGCTCCAAGATTGTGTCAAAAAGTCCTTTAATTCGTGCTTGGTTTGCCCTTAAATAGATGTCCCAACTTGGTAGATGATTCTAGGTTTCCTTGTGTGTTTAAAAGTCCAAAATTGTGTCTAGCGGGTGTTGGCGCGGCCGCGCGAAAATCAGTGCAATTCTCGCACGGCCGCGCGAGAATCGCCGAACCTTCTGCCCAAATTCTGCATTTGGCACGGCCGTGCCAAAAATAGGCTAATTTGGCACGGCCGTGCGGGCCTGTTTTCAGCCAATTTTCAGCATATTTTGATTATTTCACTTTTGGCCCATATTTTCTCCAAAATTGTTGTTTTGACCCCAAACTTTTCCAATTCTTCAATTTGTACCTAGAATACAATAAATAAACTTTTTAAGCACCAATTATCGTTAATTCACACAAAAAGCTCAAATAAAAAGATGCGATAAAGTATAAAAATATATACTTAACACACCCCCAAACTTGATCTTTTGTTTGTCCTCAAGCAAAAACTAGCAACTTTCACATATCAAATCCACCAATAAAAACAGAAATATAAATTAATCCAAAAAAAATCCACGTAAACGTAAACGTCGAGTATTATTTGTACCTAAAAGATATCAAATCCACCAATAAAAACAGAAATATAAATTAATCCAAAAAAAATCCACGTAAACGTAAACGTCGAGTATTATTGCTACACTCTATTGTATCTTTTTTATCTAGTGTTTTTCCTGTTGTCTGTTGATGCATATTAAAGTCATAGTATTGTAGTTCGTGTTTTTAAGAACGTTGTTTCGGATGCACTTTTGCGCATGTTTTTTTACAAGTACGTTTTTGTGCATGTCCATTTGA